TACATTAGGCTACCTCCAATCTGTCACATTTACATCCAGAGAAATGAAAGGATGCAGGAATTTCCTTTTTATCGAGACCAAAAGTAGGCATATGTACGGTAAATGAATACAAGTCTGTTTACATTCACCTGCCCATAGACCTGCAAGGAGCATCTGATCAGGTCAATCCAAAAAACTGACATGCAGATCTGATTGGAAAGGGGCCATAGACTATGCTAGCATATAGATACACTCAATAGGCCACTTTATTAGGTACACCTTGCTAGTGCCCAGAAAATATTCCCCACACCATTACACCACCACCACCAGCCTGAACCATTAATACAAGGTAGAATGGATCCATGCTTTCATGTTGTTTATGCCAAATTCTGACCCTACCATCTGAATGTTCTAGCTGAAATCAAATGCTCATTCTCCTCTGACATCAACAAAAGCATTTTCTTCCACACAACTGCCACTCACTGGATATTTTCTTGTTGTCAGACCATTCTCTGTAAACCCTAGAGATGGTTGTGCATGAAAATCCCAGTAGATCAGCAGTTTTTTAAATACTCAGACCAGCCCGTCAGTCACCAACAACCATGCCATGTTCAAAGTCACTTAAATCTCCTTTTTTTTCCCCATTCTGATGCTCGGTTTCAACTTTAGCAAGTCGTCTTTACTACGTCTAGATACCTAAACGCATTAAGTTGCTGCCATGTGATTGGCTAAATAGCAATTTGGTTTACCAAGCAATTGAACAGGTGTCCCTAATAAAGTGGCTGGTGAGTGTTTATTCTACAAGTAGAGCACTAGGAGAATGTATTCAGCTAAGCACTAAGCAAAATGGCTTAGTGGTTAGAGCTTCTGCCTTGCATTACTGGGGTCCTTGATGGCGAACCAACCAAAATATTGCCTGCATGGAGTTTGCATGATCTCCCTGTGCTTGTATGGGTTTCCACCAATGTTCCAAAGCCATGCTGGTGTGCACAGTATAGTGTATATGTTAGGATAGGGAGCTTAGATTTTAAGCTCTTTGAGGATAGGGACTGAAGTGAATGGACAATATGAAAAGTGTTGTAGAAATTGTCAGCACTCTATAAATACCTTTAATAATAGAGCAGCAAAAGAACTTCGATGAGCTTGGCCATAGGTGAGCAACGCGCCAAGACTTTCTTGCTGCTGTAAGACACTTATCTGAATAAAGTCTCCCTGTGCACTACATCAATTTGTGGGCTCTATCTATGCCTGAATGGATGCACAGCTGCACAAAGCTGCGGGATCGGAAGCAAGGAGGAAGCGTGCAAGCCGACCCCCTGGCGGCAGCAGTTAATGCACGTTGATTTTGTAAGCATATGCTTTAACTAGTTAAAAGAGCACAAACCAATGACTCCACAAAAATCTTTCTATACCCTGATCCCTAAGTGAGAACGATGGTTCTGATTGAATCACTGAACCCCTAGGGACCGCTAAGACTGCCTCTTGAATTCAGATGACAAAAGGATGGAGCACAAGCAAGTTTAAAAAAGTTTTTAGCCCTTACTCCACAAAAAAGAATGATTACTATCTGTTATGTAGAAATTTTCCAGCATGAGGAGATAGAAATGCTGCACAGTAGCTTAATGATTAACACTTATGTCTTGCAGCACTGGGGACTTTGGCTCAAATCTCATCCAGGACACTACCTGCATGGAGCTTACGTGGGTTTCCTGCCACACTCCAAAGCCATGATGGCAGGATATTTGGTTCCAATCTAAACTGGCCCAGTATGTGTATGCCTGTGAGATAGGGACCTTAGATTGCAAGCTTCTTGATGGCAAGCACAGATGTAAATGTACAATATGTAAAGCGTTGCATAAACTGTTAGAGCTCTATATACATAAATGTCTGTAATAAATAATGCTTCGAAGCACCCATTATGTCTCTGTAGTTAACCCCAAGCAAGCTGATGAATGCAAGCAATGTCCAAACCTTCTGCTTGACTTTTTTATTGGCTATCCTAAGTTTAGGGAAGAATAAGTGCTATTTTTGACACTTTGGGGTCATTTACAAGTAGTCCTTCCCAAAACTATTTCAATGGTGAGGGCAGTGACAAACCACTATACAAGGGACAGATGGCTGACGAGTGGGCAGGACACGCAGAGACAGACTGTTACACAGCAGCAGCTACTGGGCATAGGGTGACATTACTCGGTTCACTAAGCAGAGAGATATTAATAAATGCACACACCCAAGCACTTCAAACTAGACCAATAACTACACCTACAACACAGCACAGTGCTTAGAACGTGACTAAGTCCCTACGTCTCACATGCTTTGAAGGTTGCTTCAAATGTTATTTCAAGCACCATTAACACTTCAATCAGTAATAATAGCAAAATGTCCACCAAACCATTCATAAAAGGTAGGTTAGCTCATTTCCACCAATCATTTAAGTAGCCGATTTCCAAGGTATTTAACAGTTGCTATGTAAACTCTGCAGATACACCAATTTTTAATATAATTACTTTTGTCATACTTAAACAGTATATAATACTGAGCAAAAGCCAAGGCAAAACATGTTCTATTTAATAAGATAATTGGAAGCCATGATGAGCAGTCACCAAAAGCAATACAGCTTTCATCAGCCTGAGCAAGGAAAAGTTTTTTGACTGGTTTCTACGAGCAATTATACTTTACTCTTTAGTTGTAGAGATATAAAAGACATGTGCCCTAGAATTTTGAATACAGTCTTCCTAATATTCATAACGGAGAAATATAATGCCATTATGTTTTAGACAACCTAAAGGTTTAAACAATTATTAGCTGTCCATCTGGTGTGGCACTCCATGAACTTCTGGGTTTTTTATACGTATGGGTGCCCAACTGGAATGCTGAACACTTCCCAATTTGTCCTTTCACCACTAAGCACCTGAGGTTGAATCAGTCAGGAACATTGCATGGTGTTTGTACTTAATTGATTCAATAAAGAACATTTTATGGAGTTTGTACTCCCTGCGTATGCAAAAACGTCAGAGTGCTTTGGATTTCCCGACAATCCCAAAAAAGTTACTGGTAGGATATTTGCCCCTCAGATTGTCAGTATATAGTGTGTGCGCCCCTACAGTGTGTGATTACTGTGGATGAAATATTAAACTGTAAGATCTCTTGCAGAGAGGATATGTATTCTGTAAAATGCTACATATGTCAGCACTGCATAAAATAGTCAAATAAATATATACATTCCAGCACTGAGCTTGCAGCACATACTGGAACTTCAAGTCCCACAACAGCTGGACTCCCACAAGTCCCCCAAGCCTGAACTGGTGATGTCCAGTAAAGTTCACAGGTCTGCATGCCCTGTTTTATGACCCTGGTGGTGCCTTTCTGTCCCAGGAGCCTGTAGACTCAGTGTGTTATGACAGCTCATTAACCCCCCATTGGTTTAATAACCCTTTCAGTGCCTAAAGTACCCACAGACATTTGAAGGAAAAAAAAGGTACTCACTTGAACAAACACTACCCATACCTTTACTATGAAATCTACAATGGTAAATTATGTGCATGGTTCAGTATTGGGAACATTTTCAGGGAAAGTCTGCAGAGGAAAAATGCTTGTGGCTGTTCTATGTAAAGCGGAGCTGTAGTACTTTGAAACCTATGGATCTTTTTTCTAAAAAAAGAGCAAAACAAAACCATATCCCTTGCTTCATTTAATAGATGAAACCTGAAAGGATGCTAGGTGCAGCAACTTCACTTCTGCTCATTTCATTTTCCCCAGATCTGATAGCTCCATCCAGTTAATATATGTATTGTGTCTACTGCAGGCTGTATACTAGAGAGTTACCTGTCCTATGTGCTACTGCACTGGCCAACTTCTAGAGGAGGGATTCCACTTTGAAATTTAGGTTGGTAGACACTGAAGGGTTATCAGGTACATCCTGATTACATGATGTCCAAAAACTCTTGCTGAGCTGTCGGCCAAAGGATACCCCACATTACCTGATCGTTACATCTCCAATAAAAATTTCCCCATACCCTTCCTGAGTTGGAGAGCCATTAATATACTAAAGCCTGGTCATGAAAGGGCTTAGCAGATAAACGATCACTACAGATTTCCCCTCCCCCCCAACCCTTCCTGAGCCAGAGGGCCACTGCTATCCCACAGCCTGATGATGAAGGGGTTTACCAAATGGGTAAATCCCCTTTACAGATTCTCCCAAACCCTTCCTGGGCCAGATGGCCATGGATTACCCACAGCCAAGGGTCTACCAGATGGTTAAATCACCATTCCAGACTACCCAAACACTTTTTGAGCAGGGGAGCCACTGGTAATGAAAAGGTATACCAGATAGGTAAGTCAGCACTACAGATTCCCCCACACCTGAGCTGGAGGGCCACTGATATCATACAGCCTGGTGATGAAAAGGTTTACCAGGTGGATAAATCATCATTGCAGTCTCCCTCAAACCTGTCCTGAGTGGGAGGACCGCTCATATCCCACAGTCTGGAGATGAAAGGGTTTACTAGATGAGTAAATCACCATTATAGATTTCCCAAAACTTGACCTGAGCTGGAGGACCACTGATACCCCACAGCCTGGAGATGAAAGGGTTTACTAGATGAGTAAATCACCATTATGGATTTCCCAAAACTTGACCTGAGCTGCAGGACCACTGATATCCCACAGCCTGGAGATGAAAGGGTTTACTACAGGAGTAAATCACCATTACCGATTTCCCCAAACCTGACCTGAGCTACAGGACCACTAATACTCCACACCGTGATCAATAGAGAGTTTACCAGATAGTTAAATTATTGTGAAATATACCCCAGGTGTCCCACATCCTAAAGAAGAAGTTACTAGATATTTAAACCATCAAGACAAACTCCCCTAAACCCTTCCAGAGCTGAAAGACTACTGACATCCTACATCCTGATGAAGAAAAAGTTTACCAGAAGGAAAAACACCATTAAAGATACACCCAAGACCCTGAGCTGGAGTACTACTGATACCCCACAACCCGATGAAGACAGCCTTGACTACTCACTGTAAGGGCAGTCATCCTTCTTGGTGCCACTAACCCTGCCGTTGTCATCGATCTTGAGGAAGTATTTATGGAAGGAAAAGAGTTTCCTGCAGCGCACATCTCCTTGGAGGTGGTTATAGCTCCGCACGTGCCTCCCTGAAGAAGAGTTGGAGGAGAACTCCGCGGAGCGCAGTAAGTCCCTGCTGCCACCACCGGCGACCTCATGGCAGGTGACAGACAGCGAATAGACCAAGAACAGGAGCAGCCATGAGCGGGGCAGGTGAGACAAGCCTGGGGCACTATATGTCAGTATCCATTTCCACATTGTACTGAGGCTGAGGGCTTCAGTAGATGTCTCATGGAAAGAAACATACTGGAAGGATAAAATCCGGCGAGGGGACAGCTGGCTTCTGGGGGCCACGGGTTCCCAAGACTCGGATCTGTGCTGTAATAGGTAGGGAACCAACATCCATCACTCAGGGGTCCATCCACAGCGAGGAGCCTTTCATAACTCAGGAGGACATCCAGACCATCCCACGCAATGCTCCGCAGATGCCGCCGGCACTGTAGATACTTCTTGGTGCGCTTCCCCAGCAGTGCAGCTACAGGCTGGCTCCCAGCATGTTAAACATTGCCTGGAAAACGGAAAGTTGACATGTTCAACTCCCCCCTACCAAAAAAAAAAAGTCTTAATCCGTGTCTACCCCCTCCTTCTGCTGAAATCCTAATTGTCAGCCTGGAGATGAGCTTTTGAAGAAGCCTTGTTGTAAACAGGTTGGAAGCTGGAGCTGAAATGTCAATGATCACAATCCAGAGGTGGGATGTCTCTGGTGGGCAGACGACTTGCAGGAGGTCAAGCAGGACATCTGAAACCCTGGAGGACAGGGGCTGGAGTAAAAATGAGAAGATTCCTTAGCTCTTGCACAGAGATCACTGATCCCTTCTACTGATCTGAAGCTGACTAATTGTTGCTGAACTCTGCAATGCTCTCTCTGTCTCTGCTGCCCAAAGCCAAGCATGCTTTGGAGAGTCACAAAAAAAAAAATGTTGCTGTCTTGCTCAGCCTCAGCCAATCCCCACTAGGGAGCCCCTGCCTGTTTTTTGGCAGTGAAGTGCTCCACCTGGAGATTGTTGCTGACTTTTTTTTCTTCTCCTTCTACTATAGAAATGTTGCAGACAGCCAGCTAGAGCTGATTACAGTATAGGCTGGCTGAGAAAGAAGACAAAAAGGACAATATTCGTTTCCCTATACTTTTAACCCCTAGCAGTTCCCAGGCTTGGGAGGGTTTCCTGCTTTGGAGAGCCTACCCTTGTTGAAGTGAGGAGTTCACACTTTGTCCATCATCAATTGAGGGGCTGGAGATTACAGATAATGTTCTAATCACAGGACCCCCATAGCTAAAAGCGACTTTCTGCTCTCATTCAGTGAATCACACTTGTAATTAAAAGCTAAGAGGAAAACATTTCAGCACATCATCTAGGTCAGCCATTTGCCACTATTTTTTTAATCTGTGGCATTTATTGTATAGATTTTAATTCTATGGCGATTAAAAAAAATTATATATGTTAAAAAAAATTATTTATATATATATAATAACTGTTTTTTTTTTTTTTTTTTTTTTTTTTTTTTTTCAATGTGTTCGCATTTCCTATGTGTGGTTTTCTTAAATTTATCCTAATTTCTATTTAATTTCTCCTAATTTTTAATTATGGCACTAAAATAATGTGTACCCCCCCAAAAAAAATCTAACCAATATACAAATGACAGTAACAACTTAGTTATACCTCTAAAAAAAACTGTACTTCTTTCGCATTCAGCTCATCTCTCACAGTCATTACCTTTCACTATTTATAAATTTTCATATAATTTGTTATATATATAATATTTATTTTATTATCACTTGCCCCCTCCCTTTTAGACTGCAAAGTCCTAATATTATTATCATTATATTTTATAATTTTTATTGGGTTTTATATTATTGTATTATCACTTGCCCCATCTATATTAAAGGTCCGGTTTACTGTCCTTCGGGCTTTAGGGGACTGGACTGTGGCCAGTATGAGTAGAAAATGTCCCAGCATCAGTGGAAGTATACACTGCGCCATCATTGGTTTTAACTAGGAGAAATAGTTCCCTGTTGTTGGTTTTGGCAGAAGGAATAGCGCCCTATGGTTGGTATCAATGGGAGGCATAGTGTCCCATCATTAATGTCAGTGAGAGGTATAGTGACCCATTGATGGTGTCAGTGGAAGGAATAGTGCCCCATCATTAATGTTAGTAAGAGATATAGTGACCCATTGATGGTGTCAATGGGAGGAATAGTGTCCCATCATTGGTATCAGTTGGAGGAATAGTGTCCCAAGAGCCGGTAAGAGGCAAGCAAAAGGCCACGTCTGAGCCCCTTGCCACAGTTTGGAGACCAGTGTTTTAGAGTGTAAGCTCTTAAGAGCAGGGCCTTTTGAATCCAATAATACTGAATTATATCGTAACTGTTCTGTCTTCCTTTATTTTGTAAAGCACTGCTGGCCCTACATGAATCCTGTATTATAATGATAAAATGAATAACTGTACTCACTGAAAAAAAGAAATTTATATATATATATATATATATATATATATATATATATATATATATAATCACTTTGTTTTTTCAATGAGTATTATTATAGTAACCTATGATGTGCCTTTCACATTTTATCATCCTTACTGCTTAGTATTTTCTTGTATTTCAAAAACACTGTAAATTCTCTCTTTAATAGCTCTCTGTATATTAGGCTGCATAGTCTACACCCCAGCTGAAAAAAGTCGCATACAGGGATCCTTGTTTTTATTCTGTCTGGACAGGCTGACTGGCACTGAGAGGAGAACAGTAAAATGCAGTCACTTTTCAGTGCTACTAAGTAAAACTCACAGCCAGCTAAAGTAGTAGTTGGCTGTCTTCAAATATATTTGCCACCTGTGCGCATATTGCAAGCTGTGCGCAAGCTGTACTAAAAGAAAAATGAGGACTTCTCAGCTCACTTTGAAAATGTTGGATGCCTGGCATTAATTATTCATTCTCAATAATCTCTTGATTCCTTCCAGGAACAAGCAAGGAACAGGTAAAGTTAGACTTCTTTTTTTTAAGGATATTTGTTCAAAATCAGTGACTAAGAAGGTATTGAAGCCCTTGGATGATAGCCAGGCAACAAGCATTTTCAAGAGTAGACCTAAACTTTTTCCTTTTAGGTAATAAGGAACAATAATTGTAAACTTTGTATACCCAAAAACCTTACTTCTATAAGATCATTGGTTTCCTTTAATGTGTACCTACAGTGGATTTGTGATTGTAATGTAATACCAATTGTGATGTGATGCAATACATCAGTTATAAGTAGTTAAATGACATCTAAACCCAAGATGAAACATTTGATATATTGAATCTTGTGGTTGAGCCAAAATGAGCACCAAAACAATGTTTGTTTGTTGTTTTTTTTTTAAATTATTTCCACAAGTGGCAACAAAAAAATCAAAAGGCATCCAACACATTGCGGGAGTATCAAATCCCCTTCATCAGGGCTTAAGACTGCATTACAAATTTAGTGAACATGAAACCAGCGCTTCCAGCTAACGAACCTATAGCAGGAGATGTTTAGAACAGTCAGTTCACAACTGTGCCAGTATCAGCAGGAGAATGAGGACTATATTGCAGCCTAACAGTGCTTAGGTGTGTGGACTACATTAGTTTTCTTTATTCAGGATACAGAAAAATGCTGTTCCTTTCAGAAATCTTGTGTCCTTGTCACTTCCTGTGCACTGAATTGAAGTCTTAGATATTCTTATTAGCTTTTCCCAGTTCTCTTTGTGAATTACAATGCAATGTCCCTCCATGTAAAGCTGACCATACATGGACTGAACTGAACCGGCCAATTTCGATCCAACAATGAGCAAGCTGGTTGTCCTGAATCGTTCCATTGACGACATAAGTACAACCAGCCTGTCGTTTTTCTTTTTTTTTTTTTTCACCCAGTCACTGCCAGCAGTGATCATTGTATTCTGCAGGTGGGGAAGGGTCTCTAAGCTCCGTGCTGGCAGAACACAATAGATCTGCATCGGGGGAATTGACTGTGTTGATAAGGGAATCAAGCTATTTTTCTTTCCTTCAACCTATAGTTGAAGGAAAAAAAGTTGCATAATGTATTGCCTTTCTTATGGAGATAAGAAGAAGAGGAGGTGATTGTAGTGCAGCCTCGGGTGACAGCACTGCTGCTCCATAAATGCTGTGCACCGAGTACTTGTTGCCACCCTGACGTGTTATTGTCAGGATCATCAAGTGCAAATGCAGAGAAAAAAAATGTGCACCCACCACAGGTTAGGTCTTTTAAACTGCAATAGATTACATTTGGTTTGTGGGTTCAATTTGTGAAAACTATTTAAAAAAAAAAAAAAAATCAAACTACTTCTGTCCTTACAATGTGACAAAAGCTAATCATAGTAGAGCAATGCTTTTTACTTCTATTATACACGTCCGAATATTAGGGACATAAAGAAAGCGGTATATGTTTTTTTTTTTTTTCTTATATAAAAAAGTGTTTTTGTTTTATATTTTCTTGTTTTGTATTCCATTTTTTTGGCCTGGGTTCAGTTTCAGTTCAGCAGCAGATTTTGTTTTACCTTTCCCAATTTGCAATTTGAAATTAATTTTGTAAAGTGCTGCACAAACTGTTGGCGCTATATAAATCCGGTATAATAATAATAATTCCCTCCTAGATTGTAAGCTCGAAAGGGGCCCTCGAACCCCTCATGTATTGTTACTGTCTTGTCTCATGTTCTGTCCCCCTTGCCATTGTACAGTGCTGAGCATACCCTTTGGCGCTATATAAATCCGGTATATAATAATAATAATGTAGATTTGCTCCTATTGTACATGTTTACAGTAAAAATATGACTCCCATTATTAAAGGCAGTCTTAATTGTGTACATTAATGTAGGTATGGACTCCATATTTCCTTCCCAGTCACTGGGACTTAACAAGTGCAATTATTAACCTCATTTGAAATACATTTCTTTATGTCTTATTAATGTGCTCCAGCATTTAGGGGTGACAATTAGCCGAATGCTGAAGCGTGAAGGAGTTGCCTCCTATTTTCTATGGCTCATGGGTTAGCAGCTCATCCGAAACTGGTAGTTCTGTGTGATGGAAGTGCCTGTGCAATGTTGCGAAACTTCTAGAAAAAAAAAATGATTCAATATGAGATATAGACTTTTCAAAAAAATGCATTTTAATAAAGTTTAAGTTCAATTACAAAAAATTAAGTGTGTATGTTTGTATTTATTATATATAT